GTGCTCTGGTCCATGGGGTCACGAAGAGTCGGACACGACTAAACGACTAAACACACACACACACTCATACTCAGAGAACAATATGATGACATGCCAAGAAGGAGGGTCACAGCCTAGGTTTCGCCATTTTGTGTGGTGTAAGGAGTGCTGAGATTCTGAGTTATCATCATTATCTGTAGCAATTGTACACACCAAGAGTGGACACCTTCCTAGGGTTGCACTACCACTCCAGACCCAGTGAGGGCAATCCCCATGGCAGCAATATTCAATGGCCAATGGCATAAAAACCTTGAAAGGGATGCTTCTGCTTTACAGAAATGTGTCAGACCAACATATGTCTTCTTCAAAAACTTGTTAGTGTTTTAAAAAGCTTCTGGGGTGTCAACAGGATTCAAATAAGATGTGTTCAGCATGCACACCTTGTTTTAAAGCAGAAACCTCTTGTTTTAAGGGTAGTCTATTTTTTACTACTGTGTAGCTGAATTTTTAAAATTAAAAGAATAGTTTACAGCACTTAGGACTCAAGGAGGCACAAAAAAGCACAAGAAGGCTGCATGCGATCTGTACATGCCACACACTGCTTACTTTGCTCAACCTGAATACACTTGGTTCCTGACCGCTGTACTAGCAGGCCTGGACCATCCTTCATAATTCCCAGATGAATTCTGAATAGCTCTTCTCCTTATAGATCGGAGGTCTCTGTGCACATCCACACTTTAATACAATGGTGTACAATGCAATTTATGACATCTATTGCCGAAGGAATTAGAAAGAAAAGCTACTAGATGATGACTTTGAACATTCTGGAAGGGCAGCTGTATCCATTTTTATCACCCATGACAGTTAAAGGAAACTGCCATATTCAGAGGCAGTATATACTTTAATGTCCAACACTGCAGACGAAACAGAGAGGAAAGTCACCATTTTCGACTTCAGATTCCCCTCTGCCCAGATGTGTGTCAACCAGTTCTTCCTAATGAATTCCCTCTATGATTTCCTTCCTGCACAGATGTGGTGCCCCTAACTCTCATTTTTCTCGATTACTCCCAGTGTTATATAAATTGCCCAGCCTGATCTCTTAAAACTTTTCCTCTGAAGGCCGCTTGGTTGTCCTAGCTCTGCCTCCAGATGGGACAACGATGGTGCAAAATTTTAAATAGGCAGCTGTGTACCATTGTCCTGATAGTCAGCTCATCTCCACTACTCACCTATCCTCCTGAACTGGCTTACTGGCATTAGCTCAAAACCAGAATCTTAATAAAGAAACAAATTTGTTTTTGGTTTCTTAAAAGAAATTGCGCTGTTGCATGCAGGCACCCACAGTGTCTCTCATGATTTTGTTTTGTTTTGCTTGTTTCATAAGGGCAGGTGTTAGGGCATGACTGACGCTGTGTAAGGAGATGAAACTGTTCATAACCCACTATTTTTACAATCCTGGGCAGGAAACAATTACATAATGCTCTTTGCACCTGCCTTGAAGGAACAAATACTACTAATAATAGTATTCTATTAAAACTCTTCATATTTTTAGAGACTAGCATCATTGCTCTTCTAGATTGTTTTTTTTTCTTTTTAAAAAATACTTTCTTTTTTCAGTCTCCCAATTTAGAACAAATCTTTTTTTAAAAAGTGGAGAAAATTACATACGTTCCATAGCTAGAATGCTCTGGTTCAGGAGCATCTGTGCGGTTTGCCCTTCGATCTCTAACTCAGCAATCTGAACTAACGGTGATTCTGCAAGTGTTGCCTCCATTTTTTGCCAACGTTGTGTGAACTGAAGCACTTTGTTTTTAAGGGGTTCCATTTCAGCCACATCTGGGAAACCATCTTCAGGATACTCAGGAAACGTTATTCCTAAACAAATCAAACTGCATTTACATGTTAAAATATACATATATACAAGATCCCACTCATTGAGGCATAAATTCCAGTGCCCATGTAGCCAAAATGTTGCCCAGTGGAGACCAAGGTTTCCAAAAGTAGCGGGAGAGTTGCCAGTTGTTCTAGCAACTCTCTTGGACTCGTGAACTAAGCAGGGAGCAATGCATATTAAGCAGCAGAGCAAGCGGGTGGGGGCAATGCCAGCCAACTTTCCATCACATGCAGTAGCAGCTTGTAAAGAAGGCCCAGCTGGCACTGAGGGGGTCACACAGAGCAGAAAGAAACTAGCCATGCTCATAGCACTGTAATCATCCAGTTATCATCCCAAATGAGTTCCAATGAGGATGAATATGCATGAGTAGTTGTATTGTAGAGTCCAAGTCCCTCATGCCTGCAACATCAGAGCAAGCTTTCCAGGACACAGTCTTGTCAAGGCAGGGGTCTGTCCTTAGCAAGCTTTGCAGGATACAGTCTTGTCAAGGCAGGGGTCTGTCCTTCAGAAATACCACCCCAGGGGAAAAATACTGGAGAAGCAGAGGTAGAGACACACATGTAGGAGCCCTGCAAGCCAATAGAGACCCCTCCTTTGTCTTCCTGGGCTGTGGAGGAGTCTGTTTGGGGAGGTCTGGCCAAGGTGGCAGTGGGGAGTGTTGTCTTACCCACCAACTAGAGTGGTTAGAGTGACAGAGGGTTCTCTCCTGTAGGGGACATTGTCAGTCTACAGCCCTCATGCCTGGAACCTGGATCTGTAGAGAAACTTTCTTTCCTTAAGTTCAACCTACCATTGCTGGGCTTCCCTGAAGTCCCTTTGAAGTAAGAGAGAATGGTACACTCTGCTCCCAGTACTAGGTATGGAATACTTCAGTCTGCTGACCCCTCCTCTGGTTATTTCATTCTTCAAGAACTGAGAGGGGCTAATTTATTATTATTTATTTATTATTTATTTGATTTATATCCCGCCCATCTAGTCTGGTCGATGTTCCACAGGGTCCCTTGATGTTCCACAGGGTCCCTTCCCTCTGCAGTTCTGTGATTATTATTATTATTGTGCTCACTCACTCTACCATGCGATTGGCACAGTTCCCCTCCACTACAAACTATGTGCTGTCCCAATCTGCCTGTCCGTCCTGCCCAGGGTATTTACCCACTCCCCAGAGTGACTTATCCTCTGCTTCCCCAATGCTGCTGACACTTCCTGATGGCATTCCTACTGTTCAGGGTTCAGTTAGTATGCCCATTATAGCCATTTCCTGTTCTGTGGGCACTGATGGATGTTGTTGTACACTCTCTTTGTTTGGCACAATCATGAGGAAGGTATCAGAGGACACAGGGAAATCCTTTTAAAAAATGTTTTGCCTGATTGTGTTTTTTAAAAGGGACAAAGAATGACTATATAGTATTCAAATTGACTGTAATGGAGTTCCGTATATCCAGTAATTCTAAAATTTTATAATTCTGAATTTTGAATCTAAACAGCTGTAATTCTGAATTCCAAATCCAAATTTTTGTGCTAGTATGCATCCCTAATACAAATAAAGTATAATTGGATGACTAAATATAATGTAAAGAAAGATGGGGGAAGAAAATTAATTTGACCTCTGACCTAGTTCAGATGCAATGCTTTTCAGTATTTCAAGATGTGACTCCTCTTTTAATTCACTTTCATGGCGTTCTATTGACTCTGTGAAAAGACACAAGGAATGATCAGTCCTCCTGCATGATTTCTAGCAAAAGTGGTAAACCTACAACCTATCAATTGTTTTGGACTACATCTCCCATAATCCCACAGTACTATGTGAAGCTGATGAAAGGTGTAAGCGAAAAGATCTGGAACAGAAAAGATTACCTTGCTCTATTACATATGAAAAGCTAACAAGAATTTAAGATACAAAAAGAGGTTCATATAGAGATAAAATACTCTAATATACAAGTATAGGGCCAAGGAAAGGGTTAATAGGCAAAGAAAGAAAGAAAGAAAGAAAGAAAGAAAGAAAGAAAGAAAGAAAGAAAGAAAGAAAGAAAGAAAGAAAGAAAGAAAGAAAGAAAGAAAGAAAGCATGTTTAAAGTGTCAATTTAGATAGAAAAACAGGAATGCAGTGACAGTGATATGCCGCCGAGAAAGGGATTTTTTAACGCTGAGATATGTTGTGGTGCAAAGCACAGGGTGGTGATAAGGATAGGAGAGACCTGAAACCAGTCCTATCCACAGACATACTAAAAATTTATTTACTGTATTACACTATCAAAAAACAGAGGTTATCTGGGAACATCACAGAAAGTTAAAAGAGAAAAAAATGTAATGTTATAAATTATGGTTTTAAAAACAAACAATTTAAATAGAAATAAAATACTTCATGCACTCTTTGTTCTGCAGTCCTGGCAGCCACTTCAATAAAAAAATGGCCTCTGCAATAGGAATGATAATTACTAACCCAGTTATCATCCCAAATGAATTCCAATGAAGATGAATATGAGGAAAATTAAACTGTAGGAAAACAGACAGCACGTACCTAGCTTCATCTCGTGAAGAAAATTCCAGACAGAGAGAAACCTAAGGATTCTAGATGTCTAGAGGCCAGATTTTCCCTTGCCACCCCACACCATCTTAGCAACCTCCTCCCTGCTGATGTAAGCATTGTAACGTTGCTGCCATCAGTAGGAGTCATATTATGAACTACTGTTGATTTTCCTTGTCTCATTGGTCCAGTAGACAATACAGTAGGAACATAAGTAGAAGTGGAACTCCCTTAAGAGGAAAAGATTTTCTGTTTATTCTAACATGAGCTTGCTTCCCTGGGAGATAATATTGCTTCATTTCCATGTCTGACGTCTGGAGCACAACAGAAAGATTTCTGTGCTTTCAAGGGTGATATTCAAAGAAGAGGAAATACACGTATGCCTTATGGTGTGAAATGATCCACAGGTTTGATGCTAGAGATGATCTGGCAGGTACTGTGATCTTTAGGTACTTGGGTGCCATAGAATAACCTGTGGAACATACGCGTTCGGTACAAGGGGCAGCAAATAGAGAGACAACCTGACCTCACTTGACAGGGAGGTTCAGGGTCTGAGAAGATCCATGAAGGCTGTCCTTCAGGCTATCATCTCTTCTTTCTCTACACCCTTCTTCTAAGAGATTGTGGACCGGTGCCCACCACCGTATATATGGCTGCTAACAGATAGTACTTGGAAAGAGATGCCTTTCCTGACTATACTCTTGACTGGACGTCACCCAAAGCTAAACTCTGATGGATAAAATAGTTCTAGAGCAGTTGGGTTGCTCTAAGTTCATGGACTAAAACACCCAGAATCCTTCACCACTAGCTGTGCTCACTAGGATTTCTGGGAGTTGCAGTCCAAGAACATCCGGAGAGTCAAGGTTGGGAACCACTGTTTTATCACTTAAACAGTGTGCAAACCTAATGTTTGAAGAAAAGAATAAGAAACTCTTCATCAGCAATACATTTTTGCAAACAAATCAATAAAAATGACAATTTTATTTAAGTGAAATAGATTACCTGACTTTGATTCTTCATGTTCTTTGGACTCTTCAGATGACTGTGCTTCAAGCTGACGCTCAGACAGTTCTGATTCTGTGATTGGATACAGAAATCAACAGCTATAGAGTGATATGCGCTATATATCTGCAATATCCCCCTTCCTACCATCTGTATTAAAAGTTAAAAAAAATGTGACCTCAAGGTAGGAAACATGTGATTTGCAGGTTCTCCGCCTCCCACCTTGATCTCTCAGCCACCTTTGATACTGTTGACCATGTTATTGTACTGGATAGACTATTTGGGCTAGGAATCAATGGCCTTGCATTAAGCTAGCTCTGGTCTTTCCAGGATGGTCAATTTCAGAGACTGCAGCTAAGGCAGGCTGTTTCAACCCCAGTTGTGGGGACCTACAATCATCTCCCCAGTGCTGTTTACTATCTATATAGGGCCACTGGGAGAGGTCATCAGGAGATTTAGAGCTTTGTTTCATCAATATACGGATGATACACAGTATTATCTCTTCTTTTAATCCAACAGCAATGGATCCTGCCCAGTGCCTAGAAAGCTGCTTGGCTGCAGTTCTGTATTGGACAAGGAAGACCAGACTGAATTGCAATCCAGAAAAGATGGAGATCATGTTGCTGGGGGATCCATCTACTTTTCTGAGTACTTTTCTGGGTATCTGTCATGAACTTGGTGGATTTAACTCCCTTATCAAGGATCAGAGGTGCAGTCTGAGCATGATTCTAGATGAAGCATTGATCATGGAAAAACCGGTCTCACTGTGGTATGTTCTGTCTTTTTCCAACTTCAGTGAATTGCCCAGCTGTGTCCCTACCTGGATGACAGGCCCCTAGCAACATTGGTCTATACACCAGGAATCTCAGAAACTGACTAATGCACTCTATGTGGGGCTTCCCTTGAAGCTGGTACGGAAGCTTCAGGAGATCCAGAACATAGTCAGATTGGTTGTTGGGGTGAGGAAGTTCAATCATATTACCCCAACTCTGGTTCACCTGCACTGGTTACCAGTCCACTTCCACGTCATGGAACATAAAGCCCTAAATGGTTTTGGACCTTGTTACTTGTCTGAATGTCTTCTGCCTAATTTGGCTGCCCATCTGACTTGATCATCACAGACCTTGTGTATGCAGGTATTGACACCTTGAGAAGCCCAGAAAATATCAACTAGAAACTGGGCTTTCTCAGCAGTGGTACAGTGGACCCTCGACTTACAGACTTTTCGAGTTACAGACTTCTCTGGCCGCAAAATTTAGGTTCGACTTGCAGCCTAAGAATCGACCTACAGACCAGAAAAAAACCAAAATGGAACAAAAATGGAACAAAAACGGCCGGTTACGGGATTAATCGGTTTTCAATGCATTGTAGGTCAATGGAGATTCGACCTACAGACTTTTCAACCTGCAGCCACTGTTCCAATATGGATTAATTCCGCAAGTAGAGGGTCTGCTGTACTCCATTTGTGGAATTCTTTCCCACAGGAGTTACCACAGGCACCTTCCAATTGTGTCTTTAAAAAACTCCTGAAAACAGAGTTTAGGAAAGCTTTGGTTTTCCCCAATTAATTGGGACAGTGGAGGAAGGAGGAGAGGAATGATGACTGTGTGTTCTGATACTGTTATTTGCTGCCACATTGGTTTGTGTATTTTTGCGATAAGTTTAGTGTTTTAGAGCAATTCCATAATTTATGTTGTATACCACCCAGAGTAGCAATTTGCTAGATGTGTGATAAACAAACAAACATCATGTACTGCAATATGTAAGATTTTTGTTTTACTATTTGAGCTTCCTTGATTCAAACTTCTCATATTTCACATTTCAATTGTAGGTGCAAAGCAGCATCAGGCATTCTTTTTACATCTGTGCACATTAGCAACTAGATATCCTTTTGGCTTTAATTCAGACACTTTATTAACAATTGTTCATGCTTTACTGGGAGTTTCCTTTTCCAGCATCATCTCGTTTCATTTTGGATTCATCAGACTGTTTTCAAGGTATAAACTATTCAGCAGAAGTTCACTGGCACCTTTTGTGCAGTATTAAAAAGAATCTGCTTGCGTGTTACTAGTATTGACTATGAAATATCTTTCACCAGAGCCACCTTTCCTTAATGCTTCTGGCTAGCAGCTGCCCTTCACTCATTTCTCCACCTCCATCACCGCTGGAACCAACCATTCTCTTCTGCTGATGGGACTACTAATTCCTGAAGATGATAGGTACATCAAAAATCAATGATGCTGTGTGTAAACCTTTGTCAGACTAAATGACCACATTATTGCAGTGTAACTACCTTAACATAAGATAAAGATGACATGGGGGAAAAAGGAACAAGACAGTCTAGAGCTTGTTTTTGTAAAGAAAGTAAAGGTTATATGCCAAATCCAACCTTTAGATTTTTCCTTCTCTTTAGGAGAATCAGTATGTTGTACTGTTAAATCAGTCCCAGACTGAGATTTGGATTGTGATTCAGCTGCAGATGGATGCTCCAGGAAGTCCATGGATTCTAGAAGAAAAAGAAAAAAATACAGCCATGATATTTCACAAAATTATTCTGGACTTACAGATGAGACTTTAAAGTGTTACAAATATTACAAGAAAGTGCTCTTCCCCTGGACATGACTCTCATAATTATTGTGGATATGTATTTGCACCCTTTACTTCTGAAGAAGTGGATTTTGAGCCATAAAAGCTAGCACTGAAATAGATTGCTGGTCTTTAAATGATTAGAATATTTTGCTTCCCCCCCCACCTCTTCTTTTTCTGGAGTCTTGGTTATTTATATCCCTCAAAGCTGTACACCAACAGTTCCTTGACTAGCTCCTGGAGGCTCAGGCATACTGCACGCAATTAGTGTAAATTCTGAAATAATTGCAGATATTCATTACCTCTGTCTTCTGCAGATTCTTCGTCTTGCAATCTCAACATTTCTTGCAGTTCTCTTCTGCAGTTAGAACACAGAGTTATGTGTGGCATGATTCCATAGAATATTAACTATGAAAACAACAGTTAGTAGATTAAACAGTGTGAATGTTGTGCCTGATTTGTTTTCTGCTTTAAAAGTGAGCCTATCATTTAGAACGGTTAACACTGCAATCCTATATATGTCTCAGAGATCTCATTGTGTTCAGCAAGGCTCATTTACTAGAGAGTAAGTCCCACTGAATTTTCTAGAAGTGACTGAATAGACTTAAATACAACTACTGTATGCTGTTACCTGTGGGCAGAAACCAACAGGATGGTTATGCTGAAAATACCAGCAGAACAAGGAAAGAGAATCCTCCTTTCCTTTGCAGACTCCACTATGCCATAAGAACTTGTGCTAGAGGGCTAGGAAACCATCCCATGCTGTTTTTGGTGAGGCATAGAGGGCTGCAGGGGTAGGGGCTTTGTTGTAGCAAGATTGGTCAGGTTTCAGAAGGATCCTGAAACTGACTGAGACCACTCAGTTTTTATATGGAACTGAAGGACCTAAATAATGAAGAAACTAGGTGTAATCTATCAGAGAAAGCGACTAGACCTATATCTAGCCAGACCGGTGAACACTCCCCCACCTTCATCTGAGACTTGGCTGAGAGAAACAGAAAGAGAGGAAGGGAGAGGGAGAAAAAACAACTTTGCTTCTATTGCGGCAATAAAACTTGCTCTCGCAGGACAATATAACTACAGTGGTGCCCCGCAAGACGGGCGCTCTGTTTGATGACGAAATTGCATCATGACGAACTTTTTGTGATCGCAAAAGTGATCCCTATGGGGGAATTTCACTTTGCGATGAGCGGTTCCCTGCTTCGGGAAACGATCATCGCAAAGCGATGATTTTTAACAGCAGATCAGCGGTTTCAAAGATTTTGGAAAAATAATCTTGACCAAACTTGAAGTAAGTGGGTTGTTTTATATATGGAACTGTTAAGGACCTAAATAATGAAGAGACTAGGTGTAATCTATCAGAGAAAGTGACTAGACCTATATCTAGCCAGACCGGTGAACACTCCCCCACCTTCATCTGAGACTTGGCTGAGAGAAACAGAAAGAGAGGAAGGGAGAGGGAGAAAAAACAACTTTGCTTCTATTGCGGCAATAAAACTTGCTCTCACAGGACAATATAACTACAGTGGTGCCCCGCAAGATGGGCGCTCCGTTTGACGACGAAATCGCATCACGACGAACTTTTTGTGATTGCAAAAGCGATCGCAAAATGATGTTCCCTATGGGGGAATTTCGCTTTGCGATGATCGGTTCCCTGCTCCGGGAACCGATCATTGCAAAGCAATGATTTTTCAGACAGAGAGTGGAAAAGCACAGAAGGATTTTGGAAAAATAATCTTGACCAAACTTGAAGTAAGTGGGTTGTTTTATATATGGAACTGTTAAGGACCTAAATAATGAAGAGACTAGGTGTAATCTATCAGAGAAAGTGACTAGACCTATATCTAGCCAGACCGGTGAACACTCCCCCACCTTCATCTGAGACTTGGCTGAGAGAAACAGAAAGAGAGGAAGGGAGAGGGAGAAAAAACAACTTTGCTTCTATTGCGGCAATAAAACTTGCTCTCACATGACAATATACACATTAAAGAGGTGAGGACACAAACAGAATTTACAGTGAAGACGGAGAAAGAAGTGAAATGATGACGGTGAATCAATTTTTTTAAAACCACAGACACAGACAATTTTATTCTTAAACCCCAGAAAGTTCTAGAAGAAAAAGGTGTGTAGTCCATAAGATGGAAAATGAAAGACAACATGATAAGAGGGGCACAAAATATTGGTTGAAATATGAAGATAGAGCAGTGGAGATAAACATTGTTAAATTTAAGAAAGTCTTTTGTGGTGAAAGAATATACAATAAAATAAACACAAAGTAATAGTTATAACAGTGATTTAGGACAATAGAGCAATTTAGAATAGATATAAGATGGCAGAATAATATTGTAACTTAAAGATAAAAAGAAAGAGAAAGTCCAAGAAAATGGAAGATTAGTAATGATAAATATTATGAAAAATTGTTATAATGTTATTTTTTTCTGTTTATATGATTTCCATCTTTAATACAATTGTATCAGCGCATGTAAGAATACTTTTACAGCAATTTAGAATACATATAAGATGGCAGAATAATATTGAAACTTAAAAAGAAAGTCCAAGAAAATGGAAGATTAGTAATGATAAATATTATGAAAAATTGTTATAATGTTATTTTTTTCTGTTTATATGATTTCCATCTTTAATACAATTGTATCAGCGGATGTAAGAATACTTTTAACTCTCTGGAATTTTACCCTTTCTTACCCCCCCTTACCTGGCCCCCTATTTGTACCATAAGCCCTATCCCTATGAAAATGAATGCAAATTAAAACGAAAGAAAGAAAGAAAGATTCACCAGAGCACAGTTTGCTGTCCTCTGAAGATGCCGGCCACAGAGACTGGCAAAACGTTAGGAAAAACCACCTTCAGAACGCGGCCAAGAAGCCCGAAAAACCCACAGCAACCAAAAGATTCATTACACTGGTGCTATCTCAGTGCTGGATTTAGGCTAGAATGTCTATCATTTTTGTGGAAACACTGGGGTTTTGAACCATGACGACGAATATTCTTCAATACAATGTAAATATTTTTTAAATGATTCTATATTTTTTACTTTGCTGCTTCTTCCTCTTGTTTCTTCTTTAAAGCTTCATCTGTTAGTCTTTGTATAATCTTAGCATCAACTTCTTCTTTATTTGCTTGGTACAATCTAGTTAATAAAATTCTCCCTGCGATGTAATAAAAAGTAACAGAAAATGATGCCATGTATGTATTAGGAACTGAACAATCTTTCAAACACTTAAACTACATACAGTGGTGCCTCGCATGGCGAGCGCCCTGTTTAACGACAAATCCGCATAGGGATGCAGATTTTGCGATCGCAAAAGCGATCACATTGCGATGTTTTTAATGGGTAAACATCGCATTGCAATGATGGGTAAGCGTTTCGCTTACCGATTTTCGCATTGCGATGTTTCCCCAACAGCTGATCAGCACTTCAAAAATGGCTGCCGGAAGAAAAAAATGGCCGCCTGCAGCGTTTTCATGCGGTTTCCTTGCTTACCGAGGCAGCGAAAATGGCGGCCGTATGGAGGATTTCCGCATAGCGGTGAGTTTATCCCCATAGGAACGCATTAAACAGGGTTTAATGCGTTCCTATGGGGTTTTCCTTTCCATATAGCGATATTCCGGATAGTGACGATTTATCCGGAATGGATTATCGTCGCTATGCGGGGCACCACTGTACATGATAGATATTTTTCCTTAATATTTATGAAGGAGCTGTGAATAATGACAGTGGTGAGCTTTCTTTATAGGACTGCTTTTGAAATTTTAAAACAGATTTTAAAAAAAGAACGCTTGTTTTAGGAATGTTAGTACATTCACTGTAGGGTTCTCTAAATTTTAATAAAAAGGTTTAAAAAACCTTTACTTTAATTGGGAAGTAAAATGGCTAATTCAGCGATGATGTGGTACACTCAATATGTAGTAGTGGGTTAAGAATCAAAGGGCTATGTTCTGCTAGCCATTTTCTGGAAAGGCAGAAGTGTCTGAGATACCAACAGAAGAGGAACAAAATCCATCTCCAGGCAAGTATCCTTACATGACTATCCCCTCCCCCCCCCACAACACTCAGTGGTAATGGTAGAAGATATGTGTTCATGGAAAAGTCTCTAATTCACTGCCTGCTAAGGAATACAAGCAGCAAAGCTATGAATGACACCTGCTAGACACCTAGGATAACTATGTCTAGCTTGGGACAAAGGCATCAAATCATTTAATCTCAACATAAGTCTCCCTGCCAGTTATAGAGACTGACTACATGGGTGCTTAGCCCGCTGTTTGGTCCATTGCAGGGAGAGGCTGGTCCGCTCCTAAAGACGGTGATCAGACCTAGTCACCATCAGAAGCTTTGTTCTGTGTTCTATCATAAACCAAAAAACATTTGACAGTGACCCAAACCACGGCATTTTTGTAGAAGCACTTTAGTTGTCTACTATTCTGGTATTAGATGGATTATGGATAAGCAGCAACTAATTTTCAGTCTGCCAAACTCTGAAGGGTTTTAATGGAGTGGTAATCCTTACGATACTATTTTTTTCTGCAGTCACTTTTTAGAACTTTTTTTTTACTCACAGTATTTATTTTATTGAGAGTACTCTTGAGAAATGCCATACAATACAAAATTATTTCTATAAGTTGGTAAATAATTATTGGGAGAAACAGACCAATAGTCCAATCAATATAAGCTGTTATAATGTGTATGTTTATAAACTATATCATCTGAAATTAAAGACAGGGGCGCTTTAATCTCCCTTTGGAGCTAAAAAATTTTCCTTGGGGAAGCAATTTTGAATTGGAAACATGGCAGGGGGTAATGGACTAAGCATTCATTTCTTCTACTGCCCTTCCCCTGCTTATAACTTGTTGCCTTTGAGTGCTTCTTCAAAAAGAAAAGAAAAAACGAGCGGGAGAAAACTATATGGGATTACATACAGTATTTAATTCTGCTATCATATGAAATGTTCTTAACATCATAAAGCACGCAATATGCATGACACTGAGATATCAACACTAAAAATAATTACACATCAAAAAGTGTCCTTCTACTTAAAAGCCAGTAGGTTTCATGTGTTTTATTTTCCAGAGCTGTAAAAAGTAAGGTGATAGCTCATACTAATGCAGCCATGAGACAAGCCCGAAAGACCGCTGCAATGTTGTTAAGATGCCTAATTTTAACTATAGACCAACCATTTTGTTGAGCATTCTTCAGACAAATCACAATATCAGGTAGAAGTCCATTCTCTGCCAAAGCTGCCCAGTGTTCCGACAATGGGGGGAAATTATCTACTACCCATCCTCCTTTTGCTGGAGCTCCAGGATATCTGTCTTGATTCGTTTGAGAAACCTCAAATAAAACATAATTAACAACTTATACATATGTTGGAAATATAGAGCAATTACTTAAATGGTTTGGAACGATGACTCTTCTGACTCTGAATCATGCAGAAATATCCAAACAGAAACATAAAGACATGTAAAAATAACACCATTCCGTGGTTTCGGTATCTGGTTGGGGAACCAGAGATTGGGAGTTTGATTTCCCACAGTGCCTCCTGTAAATACACCCAGCCTGTGGTGCCTTGAGCAAGCTGTGGTTTGGAACAATGATTCTTCTGACTCTGAATCATGCAGACATATCCAAACAGAAACATAAAGACATGTAAAAATAACGCCATTCCATGGTTTCGGTATCTGGTTGGGGAACCAGAGATTGGGAGTTTGATTTCCCACAGTGCCTCCTGTAAATACACCCAGCCTGTGGTGCCTTGAGCAAGCTGCAGCCCAAGCGCTCTCCCAGAAGAAGGGAATGGTAAACCACTTCCGGGCACTCTACACAGGAAACCCAGAAACGTTTTGCTGTAAGTCAGACTTGACTTGACAGCACATCATCACCACCACCATCATCATCCTTTGGTGTCTCTACTGAAGATTTTAAAAACATTTGAAAAAAAAAAGAGATGGATTCCAAAGATGCAGTTTTGGTCAGTGCCACATCTGCTTGTCATTACTAATTTTCAGTGGCATTGCAAATTTCTTTCATCTCCTTCTCGAAAAGAGAAAATAAATCTTTATGTGTAATAAACGGACACAACAGAGATGAAAACATGCTCTTGCTACTGACATTGTATGGGAAGTAATATAAGATAAACGAAGGAGAAATAAATGACTGAAAGATTTTGCAGGTTGTAGCATATGAAAAATGGCTGAAATGTTCTCAGTCTCAAACTCTATTTCCAGCTTTTCAGCTTTTTAATTTATAAGAGAGTATCCCAAATTGACAATTTGCTGAAAAATAATTCTAAAGTATGAAAAACCGGTAGTTTACACACATGCATTCTCAAATTTAAACTAATATTCGTTGGGGAACATATTCTAGACCTATCCCTCGTTCACAGAATTTGAAAAGGAAATGAATGAACTTGCAAATTATTAAAACATTTTTGGGTAAGTATTTTCCATTGGTGCTTTTACCGCTGTAATGGCTTCTTCCAATACTTCAGTATACGCTTTGGGGGGCAGCAATATTGGTGCTAACATTGCAGCTTCTACTGCTTTCTGAACCACTTCTTGGACTTCTGGATGGTCAGGAGAAACCTCTGATTCAGTTTGCTCTGCTGACAATTCTGGTAATCAGGTTAGGAAAAGGGAAATGTGAATATAGGGACATGTGGTAAACAAGAGGCACTCTCAAATCAGTGTTGCTGTGTTCCTGACAGAAGGCTTCCCCCAGTGGAAGGCAGCACAAGACGAACAGGGATATAGCTTCTTAACATTATAAATATAGTTAGATAGTCAAGATAACACATTTCATTCCAGGAGAAAAAGATTACTAATATTTCTTCTTATGGGGCTTGTTACAGACTCCCGTCACTTGATCTGCCCACACCTCGTATAAAAGCCGAGATGCAGAAATACCAAGTAGCCCACAGGAGAGGAAGCGGCTAGCAGGAGTCTTGGTTGGTGATCCACATCATCACATGGTGTTCATGAGGGCAACAAATGGAGAAAGTCGGGTCCTGATCTAAGGCAGGATTTTCAACTTCCCGAGAGGCCTGGGATCTTGACGTTGCCACGGTTCTTTGCTTAGGCCTAACTATATAGTTAATGAAGAGGAATAGAAAATGCTGAGCTTATGGTGCCTGAAATGAGTTGCTGCTGTAGCGGTCACCCTATCATGCATACTCAGCAGTGTATTTGCATGAACCAAGAGGGAGCTGTTGGGAGGCGGAGCCAGCTATGTAGAAGGGGAGCTGAAGCAGAGAGTGGAGGAGATAAAGAAAAAAGAGGAGTGGAGAGTTTGAGGAGATAGAGAGGTAGTTTGGGACTTTTGTGGCAGACAGAAATTTTAGTAAGTGTACAGTCAGAGTGTGCTTAAGAACTATTCATGAAACAACTTGTAACCAATAAACCTGTTCTTATTTCAAAGTTAAGTACTGAATGCACATCAGTCTTTCACAGTAAACATAGTTGGTATCTTTTATTGTATTTTGATTGTTGTAAGCAGCCCAGAGACCTTTGGGTAGAGTGGGTGGCATATAAATTAGATAGATAGATAGATAGATAGATAGATAGATAGATAGATAGATAGATAGATAGATAGATAGATAGATAGATAGATAGATAGATAGATAGATAGATATAGACAGACAGACAGACAGACAGACAGACAGACAGACAGACAGACAGACAGACAGATCAACTAATGCAGAGTAGTAAAGGACGTGATGGGTGCCTGAGATTGGGTATATAATCTAGGTACACGCAAGAGGCATGCCGGAAATTGATAGTGAGTGATTGGGTACTGAGACAAGTGTGATACCTTGCGGGATGGTCATGACAGATTGCTGTCCAATTGTCCTGCAAGTATCTAAAAATTGCTGAGTTTCTCACAGATCATGTTCTTCTTTAAAAAAACCTCCTCTGATGAAGAGGACATATGCTGACCAATACATTCTAATGTCAGAATTCAGTTTACAGTACTTGAGTGAGGATACTAACTTGATTCTGAAACAGGTTCCATAGCTGCCAATTATAGGCAATGCTTTTCCGCTTTAAAACCTTTCAGGATCAGGATATTTCAAGGACTGCCTGCTTTCATACAAATCTTCCCAAGTTTTAAGATCCTTAGCAACGGCTCTTATTTGGGTCTCAATCTGCCTACTGTCAGGCATGAAGTGGAAAGAGTATCCCCAATCATTTGACCGGAGGCAGAATGGGACCCAGGGTAAAGTCTCTGTTGTGGCACCTGTCTTTGCAACACACCTTCCAGGGATGTTTGCCTGTACTGGTGCAGACTGTTTTCTTCTGGGGCATCAAACAAAGACCTTTTTATTCAACGATGCTTTTAATTTGTCCTAGCTTTAGTCTGATGTTTTCATTTTGCTCTTATACCAGTGGCGTTTGATGCTACTTCTTCTCATCAGCATCTTTATTGAGATTGTACTTTAATATTGCTGTACTTTACTTTGAGAAATTATCTACATCCAAAATAGTAAGAATATATTAATGTCTGAAATATAAACACATTCAATTGCTACAATTAATACATAGATTCTACTGCTATTACAAGGATCACATCCATTACAATTACTAGTACTGTTGTTAATGTCATTAATACCAGTTTGATCTGTAGTTTGGAATGAGGATAGCTCTTCATTTTCATCTTCTTCTTTTATGGTGCCACTCTCTTTTAGGGTAATACTCTCTAGACAGGGAAAAATATGGTCAGTGGGGTTTGGAAAAGGATATTCTATGCTCCCATTAAAGAAGAGCCTTTCTTTTTTCCTTCTTTGACATTTGTTTGTTTACTTGCTTGCTTGCTTGCTTGCTTGATATACTGCCGCTCTAACCAGTGGTGACTATGTAAGAAGGATGGAGTCATCATCTGGATGTGCCAATACTGCATGAAGTCCTTAAGCTAAACAGCACGCTGTCAGAAATGAGGACTTAACTACATGCGATTATCTGGATCTAACTGTTAGGAATCAAGTTGCTGGTTTACAAAAATGACATAATAGGTGTGCATTCAGGTGGATACTGCCCCTCTAACCAGTGGTGACTATGTAAGAAGGATGGGGTCATCATCTGGATGTGCCAATACTGCATGAAGTCCTTAAGCTAAACAGCACGCTGTCAGAAATGAGGACTTAACTACATGCGATTATCTGGATCTAACTGTTAGGAATCAAGTTGCTGGTTTACAAAAATGACATAATAGGTGTGCATTCAGGTGGTAGTCTTAGTCACCAGCACTATAGCACACAGGAAGGGGAGGCTTAACCCCCTCCTCTTTCTAACTTTGATCATAGTAAAAATCCCACTGCCATCCTGCAGCCCTTGGCATGAAGAAAGAAGCTTCTGCTGGTGCCTATTAGTTTAATGAAACAATGCTGTTGTGAAGTCAAGCTACTCATACTCTGAGGGTGCCTAGTGTGTACTGAGTTTCTAAATAGAAAGTGTGTAACTCATGCTCCTGTGTTACAATCCTGATCTAGATCTCTCCCCTTTCTATTCATTAGAAAGCCTTTGCAAGGAACAATTTCCTCATGATTTAGTATCCTAGTTCTTTGAGGCCTAGACTAACAAAGCTGACTATACTGTATAATCATAAACTTTGCACAGTACAACAAAGGCTTATACTGGGAGCCAAACTAGACAAACCATTTGTCATGTAGCTTGCTGTGCATAGTCAGTTTTTCCTGAATCAGTCCAGGAGGTTTTTTTGGGGGGGGGCAATGACACACAATATTAGACTGATGAAAGAGACCCTCAGGACCTTTGGAGGGGGGGGGGTCAGAAATGTTCAATTTCTGAAAAATTTCCATGGCTGATAATATCATCAGCCTCATGTACTGTCAGTTAAAGTAACAGGACTTTAGTCAGTTTGAGTCAGTAACACAGTATATAGATATAGATAGGTTTTTTAGAATGGGTGAGAGGGGGACAATAAAACACAAATCCCAGTCTGTCACTCTCTCCACTCGACACACAACGCTGATTTTAAAACGGCTTATGTGGAAATAATTCTCACTTAGAATTGTGTAGCCTGCATAATTAAATTGTAAGACACACAAGTCCCAGTCTGTCACTCTCTCCACTGGACACACAACGCTGATTTTAAAACTGCTTACGTGGAAATAATTCTCACTTATTACTTTATGCACAGAATTGCTGTCATAGGCCACGTAAGATACTTAAGGTATAAAAGAGGAGTTCGCGGTATATAAGCAGCACGCTTTGCTTTTGCACGCTTTTATTACTTTATGCATAGAATTGCTGTCATAGGCCACATAAGATACTTAAGGTATAAAAGAGGAGTTCTCAATAAGGAAAAAGAGGTGAGAATTTTGCAGCTGCCTCATACTCTCCTATTACAGACTGAATAAAATAACCAACGAACTACAGTATATTACCTTTTTGGCTAGCAGATGTTGACTCACTAGGCAGTGTTGAACTTTTCTCATCAATGTGAAGGCTTTCTTCATATTCATCAGCATCCTTCTCAGAGAGTTCTTGGGCAGCAAGTAGAGCTGCAATAGACAGTTAAATCCTATTCTGCTTTGGAAGTGTTGACATACATTTGTGTAAACCAGCCGAGCATCAGTATTTAGAAAAATGTCTGAATGAACTTCAGCATATAGATAAGGCAAAAATGGGGAGAAATTCCTCAAATATTTTTTAAAAATTGTACACAACCCTCCCGGGGCTGCATTCAGAAACTGTTTGGAAACTTCCGCTGGTTAACAGCCCACTGTTAACTGGGGTTAGTTATAGGGATCACATATCCCCCTTGTTGCAGTAGTTCCACTGGCTGCCAATCCATTTCCGGACACAATTCAAAATGCTGGTTTTAACCTATAGTATAAAGCCCTAAATGGCTTGGGTCCAAGTTATCTCAAGGCCCGTCTCTCCCTTTACGAGCCTGTCCTGGTGTTAAGATAATCAAGGGAGGAGTTTCTCTCGGTCGTACCATCTTCAGGGTGTGTTTGGTGGGGACACGGGAGAGAGGGCCTTTTCTGTCACTGCACCCAGGCTCGGGAATTCCCTCCCACAGGGGGCCAGGCTCGCCCCATCTTTGCTGTCCTTCTGCAAGCAGATGAAAACCTTTCTCTTTAGACAGACTTTCCCAGTGACTGGCTGTCTGAGAGGGGGTTTTTAAATGGAGTATTGTGTCTTTTTGAATGTGTTTTTGTTGATTTTGTTTTCCATTTTAGAATGATACTTGTTTCTTTCTTTCTCTTTTAATACTTGTATACTTACCGTTTTTGGCTTTTAAATGTTCTATTTTAATGATGTAAGCTGCCTTGGGTCCTTTTTAAGGAGAAAGGTGGGGTAATGATATTTTAAATAAATAAAATAAAATATCCAAATTGCAATCCTACACACATTTACCTTGGATTGAGTTCCACTGAATTTAATGGGATTTATGTCTGATTTGGTATGAATAGGATTGTGGCATAAGACTTATTATGGTTGTGCTTTGAGACATATATTAATAGGGAGAAAACTAGTGAGTAAAAATCCATAGCATTACTTCAACTATTGCTGCCACTTTAGATATAATTGAAATGAACCGTGCTATCTGTGTAGTAACATTCCTCACTTGGCAAGAAGATCTGAAGGGGAGCCTTCCAAAAAAAAAAAAAAAAAAAACCATACACACACACAGCTGGACACCTCATACTTTATACAGAATATCTTCACCTTGCTCCCTTAACTGGCGTTCTATTTCTCGTTTTTCCTTCACTTGGGCAATGCCTGCCTCTGTTGCTTCAATACGAGTCTGCTCAATGAGTTCTATTCTTGCTTCTTCATAATGCCTTTTTAGAAGAAACTCTGTATCCAGAACCTAAAGAAAAGATTTGAACGTTAAATCATAGGCAGCAAAGGAGGGGAAGGTCTGTTTGCTCTTGCTAATGTTTCTACATTTCATCTTTAAACATGCAGAAATTCACTGCTTGAGCAGCCTTACCTACTTGCGATCCTTGGCTCAATCTGAATCCCTTAGACACAAAAATTAGTCTACCTAATTACAAAATTAGGTAATTAGGTACCTAATTACCTAACTACCAAAATTATACCTACCTTTCCGTGATAATAGTCTGCAACCAAATCACACAGGGTTGATTTCCCAGAAAGCGGAGGTCCAATTATTAATACTTTGCAAGGTGGAAGCGGCATAGGTGATAGGAGGTAGGGACGAGGATTCAACATAAACTCTCTCTGTGCTTCTTCAGATGACAACATGTACATTTTACCTAAGAAACTAAGAAGACAGCATTAGAATGGTAGTTTGTATTCAGATGCTGGCTAGATAGCTCAGTGAGATAAGCATCTGGCTGCGGACCTAGAGATTGGTAGTTTGATTCACAATCATGTCTTCTGGGAGGAAAGTCAGTCTGCATGTTCCTGGGCAAGCTGCACAGTCCCAGGATGCCCCCAGAAGAAACCACTTCTGAGTACTCATTATCAAGTAAACCCTAGAAAGCATTGCCATTAATAAGAATTATTATTTTCAGGCACCTTGGATTTCTGCTTACCTAACAGCAAAATCTGGTGATCCCATTATGATTTCACCGCCTTTTAAAGCCACAGGACATGCTCGCCCCCACTTGCTGCGGCGCCATCTGTATCTTGGAGCTACAAGTTTATAGCTCCCGAGCACCCGGAAAAGTTCATCCTGGGGGTCGAAATAAAGTGACTAAGAAATGCATACGTCATTCTGCTTTAAAAAGTAAGTGTTCAAAAGCTTTACTTTCACAATTTCAAAATGCTACCCCCACCAACTTTATATAGCATTGATTATTGAATGGGAGCTTGTGTATGAATGACATTACTGTACTTAATCATGAGGGATTTCCAGGAATTATGAAAGACAAAGGACAGAAATGCTTGACAGCAGAGATTTCAGTTTCTAGGATTAGAAAAATATCAAATCAATGGAATACAAATTTAAATCTAGGAGACAATGGCTGAAATCCTGTTCATTTTGGTGTCTGCTTGACATTGCACCCAAGCATGGGACTTTTGTTGCTTTTGGGTTGCATCTGTCAGAATTCACCAGTAATTTCCCCAGACAGAATTCTGAGACATGTAACAAAAAAAAAAAAAGCAAAGTCCTCAGAGCAGCTATCATAACTTTCATATAATGTCTCTCCCACCATTCTGGATCATTTTAAGAAAAAAGAAACTGCCTTTCTGGTGCTTCGGAGTCACAATGTTTTATGGCAATTGCAAGGAGTAACATGCAAAATAGTCTTGTGTCCATTAGGCACTCTAGTGAGCCCCTCACAAGGAACAACCACCCTATGAGCCATTGTGATTCCTGTGAAGCACTGTGACTCCCAAGGCCATTGGGGTAATCCCCTTCTTCTTCAAAGGATCATGATGGCAGCAGAGACACAGTATTAAGGTAGGGCCAGCTGCTCTGACTACTTTGATTTTTTGGCAGTGTTTCCCAAAATTTTGTCTGGCGGAATTCCTCTTGAATTCTGGGACCAGTAGCCCCAAAGAAACAAAGTCCCATGCCTAGTAATGCCCAGACAGCCAACGATGGGCAATTTGATTTAACAATCAGTTGAGCAGTTTGTGCAGCAACTGTTGTGCGATACACATGCAGAAGTGCTTAATGAATAGCACTTCCAGTCTGTAGTGATTTTGCACACCACTTGCACAGCTTCACATTATGCAAGTATAGCTGTGCAACAAGATTCCAGTCATTGAGTAGTACCAAGCTGGAAAATTTTAATCATCTTTTTGTGCTAGCACTGAATATATTATTCCAGATGTGCCATATGTTCAATCAGTGGCATGCAAATGACAGTTTCTTAACTATGTTCATATCATAGAATCATAGGATAATTGAGTTGGAACATGGCCTATAAGGCCATCGAGTCCAACCCCCTGCTCAATGCAGGAATTTAAATCAAAGCAGATCTGACAGATGGTTGACCAATTTTCTCCTGAATGCCTCCAGTGTTGGAGCACTCACCCCCCCCCCCACCGAGGTAACTAGTTCCATTGTCATACTGCTCAAACAGTACCAAGGCATCTCTTACAAGACAATGTGCAATTAAGACAGCCAACCAGTTATATACTACATGCAAAGATTAGGCTTACGGTCTCCAGTCCATCTAATATTTCTTCCTCTGCACTCTGAAGTTTGGTGATAAGTGCTCCATTTCTCAGGCCCATGGACTGGAGGCGGATTATTACTGACTAAACAAACAAACAAACAAAAACAATGATTTTAAGCACTCAGTCACTTTAAAGTATTCTATTAGTATAACTTACATGGTCTGAAAAATAAAACGAGGCTGGAAACTTACTTCAGTGCCTTTTAAAAGCCATCATCATTTTTTTGTAAACAAATTAATGTAGCCCAATACTAGTTACGACCCAGAAGCCTATAGATAGAGGGATTTTCTCTATTTAAAAGTTAACAATCTGGGGACATCTAAGTGTTTCCACTACACATTGGATTCTCCAAAATTTCTCTTCAAAAAAATTCATGGAGCTGGAATTCTGTGAATACCGGAATGGCTTGAAGCAGACAGGATGGGAGCTGTGGAAAGCTCCTTCTACAGAAGAATATCTGGTCATTTTCACAGTGCTACCTTCGAAACAAGGAGGAAGAAACAATGTTTGGATAACCTCTACTACCAAAGGAGAATGTTAGCCTTAATTTTACAGTGTCAGAAAGCTCAGTTGAGTGTTCAGCATGCATCAGAACATTAACAAGATTTTGAATCAGAGCATATACCTATATTGCAGGGGGTAGGTGGAGGATAAATCAAGATCTACAGATAGATCTCTGGAAGTGAGATTAAATATTAAGGCAAATAGGTATTTTTTCCCTTTTAAAAATGTTTCTTCCATGCATACAAATCTTTTAGTGCTACACAGCTAAGATATCAAACACAGAGAGAAAACCATGCAGTCTCCCCGCGTACAGAACAAAAAGAAGCTGATTTGCCAAATACAGAATGATGCAAACTTGAGTTAGTATAAATAGAACATCCTTCCCTCTTAAGGGTGTATTGTTTCTGTATATACAATCCCCAAAATCAGCACTTTGTCTAGAGAGGTCCTTTGTCTACTGATTTGTGATTAATTACCAAAGGTTTTGACTGCACTTTATTTAACAACAGCAACAACCACAAAAGACTTCCTTCATCTCATCTAAATTACACTTTTGAGATTAAAGGAACGTTTGGAGTGAAAAGCAGGAATGGAGTTTGCATTACAGGGTTGATACTGAAAACAAATCCCCATACCAACCATGTGCTTGGAAGCACCTTGTTCTTTAATACTACAGGTAGGTTACCCCTTCCTCATGGGCCCATGCCATCATTACGTACATGGCTTCAATAGAACCTGGCCTTTGGAGTTCTCTTTTGAAAACAGGAAAGTAAATCACACAGGTCTAAAGTCTGGTTCACCTTCTGCATTGCGTATTAACCACAGTTTACCATAATAAATTAATGTCACACACATAAATAAAGCAATACAGAGCATAATAACTGAATATATTTCTTGTCCAAAGAATCATTCCGTAAGACAGCAGGGGACTGCAACTGCTGAAATTTATAGGACTGTAGTACTGTAAATATAAAAGTATTCTTCAAACATAATATGTGGGAAGAGACTGATGACTAGCTTGATCTGGAAAGCTGTTAGGACAAGACACTAGGATGTAACAAATGCTTAAACTATATGGGTTCAACTTGCTAATGGATCAGGCTGTAAGTATATAGCAAGACTATGACTGACAGTGAGCGAAGTCATATTCTCTGCTAAATTGTGTTTGATAGGCCATAGCAAAAGAAATAGTAATTTGTCATAACTAGAGAAAGCCTATTGAATCAGTGGGAATGTCATGGGTCAATACTTGTGCAAGTTCCATTAAGTCAATGAGCCTAGTGTGGTCGCAACTTACTACTGCGTTTCAGCCAGAAATATAATTTTGAATGACAGAATGGAGAACGAGAATAATCATGCTTCTTTTGAACAAAATGAGTAGGAGAGAGATGGGACTTCTGTATTTTATCATAAGGTAAAAAGACAAACAAGGCTCCTATGTATGAATGATTCACGTTAACTAAACAGAGGTACACAAAAGTTTCATTTTGGTTTGTTTATCTTTCTCTCATTTACCCTTTCTTTCACCCATCTGTTAAACTGCTCAGGAAATTTTTTATCCAATAGCACCTTGAGAATTGTTGTCAACAGCCAATCAGAACTTCTGGAGGTTGAAATTTTGAAGGTGTAAAACAACATGCACTGGTTGGAACTCAGTGGAAATGTTCTCGACCAGTTTCACTCTTTCCTTGTGTGTGAGAGGTCCTGGTGCTGTCCATCTTGCAGCAGATTAGATGTGCCTCTACTTCGAATCCTTTGCTTTTTTCTTTAAATTTTGGGGGATTCCCCCTTCTCCTACTTCTTTGAATTATTTTTGTTGCTGCTGCTGTGCAGCCTGCCTATGCCATGGTGTCTCCTTAGGACTTTTTTTTAAAATTGCTCCCCCTGATTTCTTTTGGGATATTTCCCCTTCTTTGGTCCTTTCTATTCTTAAATTGTTTAATACCTGTCTGCTGCTATACTGAACTCAAGAGAAGAAAAGGCACGCATTAAGTGGTAGTGAGGAAAGAAATCTCCCCCCATTCAAGTAGTTTTAGTTTGATAGGGCTTTGATTTTTTTATTTTTGGCTTTATTTGCTTATTTGCCTTTCTAAGAGTTTTGGCAGAGAAGGCAGTATATATTTATTTTTTATTTTTTGGTGTGTGTGTGTGTGTGTGTGTGTGTGTCTGATTTTTAAAAAATTGTTATTTGGTTAATTTATTATGTATTTATTCTGTTAAAGGAATATATTTTGGTGTTTTGGGGGGGCTGTTTTGTTTGGTTGTGGTGATGGTGGCTGGTTGTATACCGATTCGTTTCGGAGTTGATTGATTTTCTTTTGTCTTGCCCTTGCTTTTTTGGAGTAGTTTTTATGGGTTCTTTAGTGCTTTTTGGACAAATGCCAGAAAACACACACACACACACACACGTTTTTGGACAAATGCCAGAAAATGCAAATGAAAAAAAAAACCCAAATAACCCAAAAGTGATGGTCCATTTTGTGTGAAATGAAAGGAGCAGTGTTTGAAAACCACAAAAATTAAAGAGTCAGCCCCTGAAACAAAACAAATATGAACGTTTTTGCTATGTACATCCCTAATGTAATTCTTGTTGCATACTTACTGCAAAGAGTTCTTCTGGGGTTTTATTCCCATCTAATTCAAAAAGATATTGGGAATCCTGTTCGGCCATTAATTCCTGAATGTTTTAAAACAGAAAGAAATGCTTTTAGTTATCTGAAAGTGACAGAAAAAAGTACACCAGATATGATTTCGCTTTTACTGTATTATTTCAGTAATAAAATTGAAAGATGTTGTTTTTTGACATATACTTCTATAGGCCTCTTTGTTAACAGTGAATGTTTAAAACACTATAGCAGAACTAATGCTTATTATTATACACAAGAAAGAATACAAACATATGATATTTAATTCTGTTTAAAGATCATTGTGAGCAGATTGCATCCATGTGTCATACAAAAGATTAACAAGTACAGTCATACTCATAGACTTCTGCCGTTAATGGTACAGTATTTCACAGCACAGAAATGACATGGTGGAGTATGGTCAAAACAGAAATGGACAATGTTGAACAAATGTTATTGAAATGATCACTGGGGATTCTACTCTTTTCGCTCCTTTTTCTTCCAGATATGGTAGCACAGATTCCATTATCTTCATACCTCTAGGGGATGCAGCATAGTGTCCTTATAGATCGCAATTCTCTCTTGTGTATTTTCCAAAAAGTCTTCTGGTCTTTGTACTAAATGTGGCAGAATTTCCGTTAACATGATCTGGTCAGCTATTGCCTAAGAGAGAAAAAAATTAGCACCTTGCATTGCTTCATTGTAAAGATGACAGGCTATAGAAAATGGTTCTAGTTCCTATTGCGACATTTTAGGGATCTTCGTTGTGTAAGCTCTTTTCAATTGTTTAAAAATGAAAAAAAATGCATCATATCTCAAACTACAGAATGATGTAAGCCTGAATACAGAACTCCATGCCAAAACTCCATGAATGCCAGTAATTCCATGAGTAAACTTTGGGCAGCATCCATACTTGAGATGTACAAGGACTTTCTTCTCAGTAAAAGAGAAGGACTCTGTATGAACATGAAATATCTGAATACTCATTGAGGGCAGAAACAGATTAGATGGCAGCTTCCCAAATCAAAGGCAATACAATGTTAGGCTTCCAAAGATAGCATGTTTCAAAGCCTCCATCTCTGCACAGTCAACTTGCAAATGAATCCTGAACTTATTTCCCAATGGCCGAAAAAAAAAAGCAAGTAGCTGTGCAACTTGCAAGGCAATAATATGTCTGTGTCGGAACATGTTTGGCATCAAGCTCTGCTATATTTCATGTAAGGTTTGTGTAACTGTGTAACTTGCCGCTATTCATCGCAGCTAACTGACAAGGTGCCGGGGCATATCTCACTCACGTGCTTGTTGGTGTGCCAAACTGGGCTAATGCGATGTACCCTGGAACTTTGCCAATTGCCCTCAATTAGTCAGGGCAAGTTATGAACCCTTGTGTAAACGCTGATAGGATTCTGGCCTTTAACTCTTAAAGAAAGCCTCACTGCTAATTATGAAGTTAATGTGTATTCTGTTTGTTCCCTGAAGTCAGATTCCGGTATAATGTACTAACCAGAACTAGCTGAGGAGTACTGGTACCCATCTCTTAACTGTAGTTAAAGAAAGAGACTGTTTAATCACACCGTCCCTCCTCTTTTCTACACAAGACCACCCGCATCCCACAGTCATTGCCCAAGTTATATGTGCATCAACACATGCAGTGCCTAATTCCGACCTAAGTGCTCTACCAGTTACACCTACAGCAATCCAGCAATAAATCTGGTTCAGCTACCTCAGCTGTTTCTTCCTCCTCCTCCTCCTCCTGTTCTTCCTCCTCCTCTTCCTCTTCTGTTGTTTTACGTGGTTCCTTCTTTTTTTTCTTACGCTTTTCAATAATATCGGGATCCCACTCTGTCCTTTGAAATACTTGTCCTGTATCAGGGAGCTGTCTTTGCCCAGAGAGTCTTTGGCACAAATCATAATCAGGACACTAGTTATAAAAGAAAATGCACGTATATTACTTCTTGATTGGTCTGAGCATAAGGCCCCACATGACCCTAAGAGTTCCACCTGAAATCTGAATTAGAACAGCACTCAGTTGGTGCATGAATCCTATGAACCCTCTGTGGTGGGCAGCTTCCACGTCTGCCCTCGCTCAGGGTCCTTGACCAAACTGTACAGGAAACTTGGGAAAGTGGAGCTGAAGAGAAGAAAGGCAGAGTTCAGTTTGAATGTGGGTCTGAGTAAAAAAGGCTATTCTGAGACATACAACAGAGAGAGGCAGGCATGCACATCATCACCAATCTCATCGCAAATCACATAATCTACCGAACAGCTGGTATTCACACCCGCTGATCAGTTCACATGCATGGAAAAAGACCATGTTATCATTGTAATCTAAGCTCTGAAAATCACTATAAAGCAGGTGGCTGGTCTTTGACCGTAATAAAGTTTTATTTATCTATCTATTACTATAAAGCAGAAGTTTAAAAAATCCAGAATACCCGGCTATATTGCATGTTACATGCTCAAGGTTTTGGAACTCTTAGGAACAAATTACGGAGTAAATAGCACTAATTGTACTAAAGGAAGTTCTGTTCAGCATCAGGAGCAACCAGAACCTTTCCAGGAACTAGAACAGCGAACTAAGATACTTCACTCCTTCCCAGTACGGATCACGGTTGCACAATATGTACGAAACTTACTAAGCAGTCACAAAACTCTTACGTTACCTTAATATTAATGAGGACATCGGCTTTTAATTTTAAATTTCTAATTGCCTCTATTTGTTCTGGTATACTCATGAATTCTTCTGAAAGAGATGGAAAGTCACACAGAACATAACCTGGGAGGGGAAAACAACAAAACTGTTTTAACATTTTAAAAATTACAGATGCATTTAAAACACACACATTTTGCAGCACTACAAGATGCATATGTAACTGAATCAGTTGTGCTTATTCAACAGCAAACCTCCTGTCCCCAAGCAGAAGATGAAAAATGACAGAAAGGTGGGGGCTGGCTTTCCTTCCATCAGATAATGAACAATACTGTATAGGATGCTGCTGTAGATAGTTTCCTATTAATAATATAAAACTGCAATGTATCCAAGCACATAAATAGCCATCATTAAGTTGAATCGAAGTGTAACATACATTATATTTGGTAATATTGCTATACCTAATCTTCATATCTTTTAAATGCTACGAATTGTCATGGAGTAAACAGAAAAACAACCCCAAAGGATTACAAATAATGGTGTATACACCGTATTTCAAACATGACCATATCACAACAAATGGGTATATTTGTAAAGCAATCAGATAAAACAAATAATTAAGTAAAATGGGGCTATCTGGATACAGGACAAATTTTCTGTGACTGTGGAGAAAGTCAATCAATGCAGCACTTACATGCATGCCATTTATGCCCGATTAGGTGAACAAAAGAAGATCCAGCAAATGGCTGAGATAAAGTTACTGAAGTAGCCCGCTTCTGGGCAAAAATAGTCTAATTATCTTGACATTTTGTTTTTGATTTTAACTTATATTTCATATATGTTCATAATTTTAAGTTGTGCAATGCTCTGATATGAATAAAGAAGAAAGAAATAAAGGTATAGTGGTAAATTTGGAGGTGCAGGTGCTCATCATGATAGCCAGCTCCCCCATAAGGAGAGTTCAATAATATAACCAGAGATCGGCTGCACAAAAGCATCATGCCGTGCAACAGGCCACTTCCAGATACTGTATTGTCAAATTAATCACTTCTCCTGCTTGGCAGAGGGCAAGGGAAATGAAAAAAAAAGGTTTTTTTCTGTTCCTGTTTAAGCCTATTGCTAATGCACTATTGTGAGGACAGGACCGAGAGAGTGAGCCATCCCCTCACGAATACAGCCTAGAGCAGATGAGTAAGACCGTGGTGAAAGAAAAGGAAGGAGAAATAAAAAGAACAAAAGAGCAAGCTACTGAGAGCAAGCTACTAGGGTGGTCTTGAGGGAAGGAGAGACATGAGGAGAGGGGACCGTTAGGACAGTTGAGGGATGAGGAGAAAGGAGGAGGAGTGTCAGGACAGGAGAGGGAAAAAGTAGATGTGTTTCTGACAACGGAGGTAGGAGAGTTGTCTCAAGAAACCGAGAAAGTGATCATGTATACAGAGAAAAGACAAGAGACAGCAGATGAAAATGTACAAAAACTTATTAAATGATGTTAATTGTGAAAGTTCTTTGTTATGGTTGTGGGAGGAATCCCCTCCCCAGTTACAGTATATGTTATCCTAGTGAAATAAGTAAAAGAGACACAGTTGGCTTTGATAATAAAAGTTCGTTCATTCAGAATTCAGACTCATCTTTTGTGGCACGAGAAGAGGAACAGCCAGTAGTGAACCCAGGACCTACTCACATATTTCAGGACACATGAGGTCTGTTGAGGTCCAACGGACTAGTAAGTGCCTGACACTCACCATGTAGGTCACAACTATCAATTATACCAGNCACTGGTTCTTAACCTTGGGTTACTCAGGAGTTTTGGACTGCAACTCCCAGAAGCCTTCACCACCAACTGTGCTGGCTGGGGTTTCTGGGAGTTGCAGTTCAAAAACATCTGAGTAACAAAGGTTAAGAACCACTGTACTAGAGTATTATTGTGTTTTGGAGAGAGAATTTTTGCTGATATTTTAGAAGATGCTGAATGTTTTGAATCAAATAGGAGGAGCCTTAACTGCTTCATCTGGAATATCTCTTTGTATTTATTTTATTTTCACAATTTCTTTATTATTTTTCCACAATGGATTTCCATCTGTTGTATTGTACTGGGCAAGAATAATATAAAAATGCAGCCTTCTGTTACTTTTAGTTTATAACTATGCAGCAGTTAATACACATAACTAAAACTGTTTCTTGCCTTTATGGAAGGACACATTTTCATAGGACTACAGAAAGCACACTTAACAGAGAAGAAATATATACCAAAGTGCATAACCTCTGGCGATTCAATCTTATTCAGAAGCATCTTTATAATCAATTCTTCCGGAACACTTTGACCTTGGTAAAGCAATTCTTTACTCTAAAAGGAAAATAAGTATCATCATATAGTCTATATATAGTTAAAAATACAAAATCAGCACAGGGAATTATCTTAAATTAAATCACATTATTTCTCCACCTGAATCAGAATATCTATTCTGATTGACAATAGTTTTCCTGTTCACCAAAGTTTCTAAAAAAGGGTCTATCAAATTTGTTCATTTATCAACATATTCACATCTCACTGTATGTCTGGAGATCTCATTTTTTCTAGACTTTCTTTACTGGCGATGCCAGAAGCTGAACCTGCAGACAAAGCATATGCTCTGCCACTGAGTTATGGCTTCTTTATTTATACATTCCTACATTTCTTTATAAGCAAATGTCACTATAATTCTTAGCAGTACCCCCCCAACACACTTTAATTAAACTTTCACTGATAGTAATTGGGACAGAATCACAGTCTTAAATAGAAATAAAATTAAAAATAAAGTCAAGAAAACCCAATAAACCCCACTGAATTAATGAACTATAGGCTTTACCTGAATTCCATATTCTGTTTCTGCGGTTATGTTCTCATCTATAAGCTCTAAAGCTAAAAATGATACATTATATTTTAAAAGTCTGTATCTTTCAGTATTGATCTATACATGCAGATATGCAGCACACTTTAGATGGTGATCAAATAGCAACTGTAAAACTTAATATACATCCTTAGTTCACAACTGCAGTTCTGCAGAGGGCTTTAAAACTGACCCTGTGCTTACAGCTTCAGTCTCTCACTATACAAAGTGATGCCATGCTCCACTTTGGACATTATTAAGAAAAAGCAGAAATCATGAAATAATCTAGTATTTAGTATCAGATCAGCAGCACAAACATCCCATCATACCTGGAATCCCTTAAGTCACCATCTTAGAAGTACTGTATAGAGCTACAAGGGACCCTTCTGGATCCATGACTCCAGCCCATGTCAAGGAGGCCCCAGTAGTGAATTGAACTCTCAACTTCTGGCTCCGTAGTTAGAGGCCTAAAATTATTTTGGCCTTACAATGTTGTCATGCATTCCCCAAATATCGGAAGTAGTCACAAAACACCATCGTCCCAAAATGTCAAAAGCAGGCCTGCACAGCTTGTGATTCTGCAATCTTCACAGGGGCCCACCAGGTGCATGATAAAGTTTTTGTAATCTCTGGCCAAGTACAAAAGAGGGCATGTTGAACTTCTGGAAGACCACCATATGCAACCGGTAAGTTGTGCACAGTACTGTGGGCTACACATAACAGAGGCTTCAAGCTACTGTCTGCAGAAGCATTTAGTGAAAAATGAGATGCATTTCTTTTAACTCATTTGCTTTAAAAATATTTCTGTCGGCAACTCAGAAAAAAACCCAGAAACATGACTTATATTAAGTCAAATCATTGGTCCATCTAGGTGTATTGGGAACGCTGACTAGCAGTGGCACTCCAGCATTTCAGGCAAGCTTCTTTCCTCAGCTTCCCTGGGGTTGTGTGGGAATTTTTTTAAAAAAAGAAAAAAACCCAGAAACATGACTTATATTAAGTCAAATCATTGGTCCATCTAGGTGTATTGGGAACGCTGACTAGCAGTGGCACTCCAGCATTTCAGGCAAGCTTCTTTCCTCAGCTTCCCTGGAGTTGTGTGGGAATGAACCTGGGACTGTGGCCCTACTATGAAACTATAGTGCCTTCCCAATATACGTAGTCCCTGGTATTCCCTGGTGATGCTCTATCCAGGTACTAACCAGGCCTGACCTCCTTAGCTTCTAAACCAAAATAAAGTTGGTGTGTTCAAGGTGGTACAGCAGTAAGATTCCCCCTCAATTTTTTTTCTTTGTTTTGTTTTTAAATGTTCATTTTAGAGTTGGCTGCCTTGAGTCCCATGTTTGGGGAGACAGGTTGTTTTGGAAATCAGAGAAGTAAATAAATAAGCATAATCTTAGGCAGCAGTTTTTACTCACATTCTCAGATGATGGGCATTTTTCCTCACCACAGAGAAGGCTGCCTTCCCTCCTGCCTGCCTCCTGCCTGCACTGAGAAGTATTTACTGCCAGGGTCTTCTGGCCATGTTTAGCTCTCCTTTATTACAGTGGAGGTCAACAGGAACCATTCTGACAGTATTTCCTGCTGACCTTAGCCTATTCACCTCACCCAACTAGTCCGGCTTTATCTCTATCCCAACTATAATGGTATTGCTGGTGGAAGGGAATGGAAAAGCATGTTGCTGTTTCTTAGTTATCAAAGGACATCAATCACTCCAATAACATTGGACCCCTAAAATCATTAAGGAGTCTATCCTGCATGTATCAGGTAACTTGCAACTGATTTCCATGAAACCTGTGTCTACTGCCTTAGGAATGTATGTATCGGTTTAGATCCTTATCTAAGGTCTTGCTTGATACAAGGTCTTCTGCTCTGTGCCAGAGAATTTGGGTTAACCCTCACACCTTTTTTAAAAAGATAAGGGCTTTGCTAGATTGGACAAAAAGCCTACAAAGCAGCACTTAAGGACAATAGATCTTTCCTGTTATTGTTGTCAGACAACTGCTATTTAGAGTCCTATTGCCGCTGATAGTGGGGGAAAAAAATTGGGCCCACTATGATTACAGGTCACCGATAGCACAGTCCTCCATGAATTTGTCACATCTTCTTTTACAGCCATCTAACTGCAATCACCTTACCTTATGGTAGCAAATTCACATCATAACTATATATTGTGTGACAAAGTATAAGGTATAAATTTCCTGTAAATATAAATTTGAGAAGAGAGTACGATAGGGAACTTGAGCCACTGTAATAGTCTTTTGCTTTTGTAAAATTTATGAAAGCTAAGTTTTATTTTTAATTGTTTTGGGGCAAAATTTTAGAAACACACATTGTTTACAACTTTTTACTTATTCTTACTATCTTTGCTATTAACCTCCTCTGTAACTGTTTAGCAGAATGCAGAGATAGTTTTTTTTTAAAGTAACAAATAATTGGGCAAGCACTGAAATATATTGACCAAATACCAACTTCTACTGTTAATTTTCTTTAAAAAGTAGAATGATTCCAGTAACAATAAGTCAACTGTATGAAGATAGATAGATAGATAGATAGATAGATAGATAGATAGATAGATAGACAGACAGACAGACAGACAGACAGATGATAGATAGATGCTGCAACTTTTCCTGAATCCCAATATAATCAAAATGTTCTAAAACTATTATAAAGTATGAAGCACCTGTATTTTACCTCTCACCTTAGCTTTAGGGGGCAGCACTTAAAACAGAGAAAGAATAAAAACAGAAAAAGAGAAACGCTCTTTCCTTTGCTGAGTGCCATTTCCCTGATTTTCAAAGCAGCTGTACAGGGCTGCCAATTAGTTTTTAAAATCACATTTATTTGACCATAATATTTACAGAAATCAAGACTGAAGTTTTAACCAGCAGAGGGCTCCCGTGTTTTTTCTAGTTACTGCAACCACAAAATGTGTAAAGAAAGTTAATTCAATTTTCTCAGAAGGAATGTAAATCAGACTGCAATTAAAAAAATTCAGAGATTATAGTCATGCAACAGGACTATTGCCTAATGATACAGTAAGGGTAGAATTTCAGAGAAACCATTCTTTCTGAAACAACCCAGGCAAATCAATCAGATGTCTATCATAACCTTAGGCTTTCAAAATCCTGCTGCCAGATTAACCTTGATTGAATGCAAATAAAATCACTGCCTTATTCTGCTACTTCTTCCATTCACTCTTTCAAATTCAATCCACTTAACTGCTTCTAAAGGTGAATTCACCAGGGGACCAGCACCTTTTCTCTGTGGGGCAGAATGATTCTGGGGAAGAACTTAATTAAATAGTAATAGGTTGCTGAAATGACTAAATTGCCAGATGGCATCCCAGAGAGAATGTATGAGTCCCTTATATTACCTCTCAGAAGCCAAAGATGCTAGGGCTATTTATATACCCCATATATCTTGGGCCAACACATGGAGAGATGGCGAGAAGGAAAAGAAGAGAGAAATTGGGACTATGTTGCCGTTACAAAGCCACATCTTACAGGTATCCTGTCATTAGAAGAGGAAATTTCTTGAGTGATGGTGAGGTTGCAAATTAGATAGCTTTATTTTATGATTGGTCTCCAGCTCATAAGGACATCCTTGTTTGTAAGTGTGATTTCTCAAATGTGAATCCCATGGATAGATCATTATTGTGGCAGCAAGGGTGTGCTTCCTGAAATTTTGGAAAGAAGTGCCCCCATTATGCCAAGGTGTGCTCAGATCACATCCCTGAGACCCTGATAAGTTCAACTGGGAATTATTTGCACCCTGTTCCCCTGAAAATAAGACAGGGTCTTATATTATTTCCATTATGCCAAGGTGTGCTCAGATCCCTGAGACCCTGATGAGTTCAACTGGGAATTATTTGCACTCTGTTCCCCTGAAAATAAGACGGGGTCTTATATTACTTTTTGCTCCCAAAAAAACATTAGGGCTTATTTTCAGGGGATGTTTTATTTTTTTTTCATGTACAACAATCTATATTTATTCAAATAAAGTCAATGCCATCTTCTTCTGGTTGTTGCACAATGGTGGAGGGCGGGGTTTCCCTTAACTGGGGCTTATTTTGGGGGTACTTATATTACGAGTATCCTGAAAAATCACATTAGGGCTTATTTTCAGGTTAGGTCTTATTTTGGGGGGAAACAGTGTAATGGATAATATACTGTTAGATGTATAAACAACTCTCCAGGTTGTGACCTGTACCTGAGATGAAAAAGCTGAAAGTGCTGTTTTCCCTGTATAAGCTTCCTAAAGCATGTAAAGAAGAAAGCTCTTCTACATAATTCTCTTGTTTTCATTTGCACGATTTCTGGAAAATATTTTAGAGCTTTTCCAAAATATTCAGTACAGTTTAGTGTAGTGATCAGAGTACTGGAAAGAGGTTTGGGAGATTCAGCTTCACGTTCTCACTTAGCCATGGAACTGGCATGTCTTTGTCCAACATGCTTCACAAGGACAAAGTGGGAAGGAGGAGAGCCAGGAATGCTACTAATGTATGCTACCAATCCCATTAGTAGCAATCCAGTCATGCTTTTTGGCCATTAAAACTTCCTGACCAAAATCCAGAGGCCCCAAAGGATTCTCAAGAGCAAAAGGGAACTCTAGGGAACCTCAGAACCTGAAACAGGGAGAAAGGAAACTTTCAGCTAATTTAAATTAAATATTCCCATCACTGAATCAGTATGACATCATCCTTCTGGCATTGCATACAGTTGCACAAGAGAATTTCAACCACTGTATTGTATCATAGATGTTTTCAACTTGTTTTCCTAATTAAAATTAAATGCTGCCTGTTACTGGTTTTAGGCACAATCCTAACTAGGCAAGATGGTTGCGGGTAGAAGTGACATCAAGCTAGCTGAAGCTGTGTTGAATCCAAACTTCTCCCAGTGTAAGGATATTACTTAGTTTTTCTACTCTGACCTTGGCCTAGCTTCATACTAGCACAGTGGCAATGAGTCTGGATTGAAAGGGGTTTGCATCTGGCTTAATTTAGATTTTCTTCTTCTCTCCCCCCCCCCCCTTTAGTTCTTCTGCAGGGCTATCTCAGCCAGCACAGTGACCACGCCAGCAAATCCACATATGCCGGTAGATCTGAGATCAGCAGCATAAGAGGAATGTGCCACCATAAGCAGTTGTAGTGGCACAAGAGTGTTTTGCCCAATCCAGACACTCTGCAGGTAGTATATCTTTAAGTCTGGATTGGACTGTTTGTTGAAATCCATTTGAACAAATGAAATAAGAAAATCAATGTTGCTGAATATGTCAAACATCTCTATCATCTACATGAAGATGTATCACTATCAATTTAAAGCCTTGTGTAGACAAAACTTCCTTAGAATCAAAATATGGGAGCATTAGACTCATTCCTGCAATGGTGGTTTTTATGATTTTACAAATATAATAAAGGGAGGAGGAAATTGTATTTCAGTGATCTTATACTACCTGGGGACATGAGAAACCTTTGTGAAAATCATACAAAGAAACATAAAAACAAGCTTCTGAATTGTTAAGGTACTATGATGGAAGGAGTAATCTTGGAGGACTGCTGTTTTTTTAAAGACCTACCTGAGTGATCATGAGATAAAGCATGGACATTCGCTTTATCAAATTATAGGTCTCATTTTAAAAAGACATTAAAATGGTAAGTAGGTTGCATATCTATATATTCTATCAGTGAAGTGATGGCCACTGTCCATCCATGCCCATCACTACATGACACTGATTGTGCATCTTTAAGAAAGGTTTAAGATTTTAGCAAATCCTGATAAAAACAAGGGGGAGATAGCAAGTTAACAAACGTAATTGAAAGAGAGAGAGAGACATACAAACACAGAGAGAGAGAGAGAGAGAGAGAGAGAGAGAGAGAGAGAGAGAGAGAGAGCATTTAATTTAGAAGAAATGTGCAGACTTGGATCTCCTCTCAAGCAACTGCTACTTATGCGGCAGGGTCTCTCCTCCTTCCTCATTTCACTAACTTTCCATTTATTCTAGAGACTCCTCAGACCTTCTGGAATAAACTGAGGGTACACAGGGAGGTTGAAGGATAAATGTTTTAATGTATTCTTGAAGGCTTTCACGGCCAGGAGCTGATGGTTGTTGTGGGATTTCCGGGCTCTCTGGCCGTGCTCTTAAAGTTTTTCTTCCTAAAGTTTCACCAGTCTCTGTGGCTGGCATCTTCAGAGGACAGGAGTCAGAACTCTGTCTGTGTTGTGGTCTAGTTTATTGGATAGCTGAGTATTTATAGCTGTGGGATCAGCCCGGAAAACCCACAACAACCATCAATAAAGGTTTTGTCTACTTCCAATGACAAAATCTATTCTGTTGGCAGAAGTAGAAAACTAGATACAATTCCTAATATCTCACATAACAAAAGCAGGAAAGGCCACTTCTACATGCTCATAAATATTAAGACTATGAACACATAAAAAGAACAATGCTATATCAGATCAAAGGGTTCCACTTCCAACATAGGCTAGGATCGCAGGGACCAGGGTGAAAGCCTACTGACCATGAAGCACATTGGGTTATCTGAGCCCCATCACTGTTTGTCTGCCTAATCTATCATCGAGTTATTGTGAGGATACAAAATGGAAAAGAGAAACATATACACCACCTTGTATTCATTGAAGTAAAATCAGGATATGTAAACGTACATAATACAACTACTAATAATAGGCTTGCAAATTGGGCCGGATGACTTTCCCTCCCTCCCCACAATTTGTTCACATTACTTCTATAAACCTTTACTCTGTTTTGGAAAAAAGCCACAGGATAATTAAGGAAAATAGTGTAGATGACTTCATTAATCTAATAGGTCTCTGGAATGCTAGGAATCATTAAAAGTACAAAGAATGAAACATTGTTAATGTAATATTCTATATAAAAACTAATAACAGTATGTTTTCAATATTTACCATTAATGAGTGTGCACTTCCAAAACTGTGCTAATTTTTTGGCTAATGTATTCTTCCCAACACCCTTGAAAGCAAACAAACAAACAAAAAGATTGTTTCAAACTGGAACAATATTTCAAAAATTTCAGTGCTTTAAATGTAACAAATTACAATTGAAATACAAAGGTTATTTTACAATGGGTAATTAGAAAATCCATGTGGGTTTTCACATTACAGTACTAGGTATCTGAAGGCCAGAAATTCTGTATGTCATCCCAACATTATTTGTATTCCTACTTTTTATGAGAAATGAATGGTGATTGAAAATATAAGACTGTGGACAACTTTGGTCTTGGTCTCCAGTGACACATCCTTACATTTAATTATCTCTTCTAATTTCTTCATTCCTGCCCTTCCTAATCTCTGTCTTCTTCTGATTTCTTGGCTGCAGTCTCCATTTGGACTGATGACTGAACTAAGGTATACAAATGCTTTAATTAGTTCAATGTCTTCATTGTCAATGCTCAAGTTGTGTAATTCTTCTGTAGTCATGATTTTTGTCTTTTTAATATTCAACTACAGTCCTGCTTTGGCATTTTTTCTTTCACTTCCACTAAAATTTCAAGTGATTGCTGCTTTCTGCCAGTAAGAGGGTGTCATCTGTATATCTTAAATTACTGATGTTTCTTCCACCAGTTTTCACTCCTTCATCTGAATCTAATCTGGCTTTCTGTATATGTTCTGTGTACAGATTAAACATATAAGGGCACAAAATACACCCAATGTCTTACACCTTTGCCTATAGAAAATCATTATCTCTCTCTATATTCTGTCCTAATGGTAGCTTCTTGTTCCCAATGCAGGTTACACAATGGGACAATCAAGTGCTGAGGCCCACCCATATCTTTCAGAACAGCCCAGTTTCTCATCATCTACACAGTCAAAGGCTTTGTTGTACTCTACAAAGCACAGACATATCTTCTGAAATTATGTGGTGTGCTGTAGTAGCCGGTGAATATCTGCAATATGATCTTGAGTGCCTTCTGAAATTATTTGGTGTGCTGTAGTAGCCGGTGGATATCTGCAATATGATCTTGAGTGCCTCTTCTTTTTTGAAATCCAGTTTGAACATCAGGCATTTCTCATAACATAGGTCAGGAAACAAGGGTAAATTACCCCAAATGGGATAAAAGTAAAAATCCTAGGGGTAATGAGCAGAGTGCTACCCCCTCCCTCACTCCCACCCACCCCCACCCTCTGCAGCCAAACCTCAAATTGTAAGCTACTTCTCCCTGTTACTTCCTTGGTTGCAGCAGGGCACTTGTAAATCCTCTGTTGGTTCAGAGATCGGAGATAAACCTGCTTGATTGGTTACAGCTGTGGATTAGCCCCAGGCAATCAATCATTCAGTCCAGGGCTTCTGAATGACTGCTTCCTCCAGAAATGACTGCAATGAAGCAGGAGGAGGGAAAGGATCAAGGAGCAAACAAGGGAAGGAGGGAAGAAAGGTGCAAGAGACCGAGGACTTCATCAAGCTTATTTAAATGTATGTAGAAAATGGAGGGAGGGAGGAAATGGAGGGAGGGAGGGTGGATGGATGGATATGTGTGTGTGTGAAGGAGAGAGTGAGAGTGAGAGAGACTGACTCAAAACTATGAAAAAGAACAGGCAAGAAAAATAGAAACCTTGAATTAAGGCGGGGGGGGGAAGTGGCTTTTTAAGGTGCTGTCTAAGTTTATCATTGCTTTCCTTCCAAGAAGCAGGCATCTTTGAATTTTGTGGCTATCAAAAATTTAATGCAACTT